ATAGTGGAAAAGTTCAAGGTAATGATTATGAAAGCTGCAAGTGGGTAGGTACTGTGCAAATCCTTTCTTTGCATCCCATTGATCACCTGTCCGAGGGATTTCCTCAATTTAAAGCAGGGCTTTAACACGTGGGCGATCTCCAGCCGCTTGCTGGCCTGACACTCACCTGCTACACTGACATGAGTCATGCCACTTGTGCTAGGTGCGACGTGGTCACACCTGGACGACACAGAATCTGTCTGAACTCTTACCATCTTTTATTGACGAGACTTTACTCAGCCTTATTTTTTCCGGCATAACATGACTGAAAAAGAAAAAACATTATTTTGGTTAAAATATGTATTCTTGAGGTTGAAGAGAACATTCATTCTTCTGTGGCTTCATTACTGATTTGCTTATTTTCAATGTTACCTGGTACGGGTCTTTGTCATTTTTCCAATAACAGAGAATCTTACGACACGTATTACGATCTGTGAATTTAGATCATTTATGTCTCTATCTCAATTTGATGTGGGATCTTCACGTCCCTTCTATAACTTTCACCACTCTATTTATGATATTAACAAGTAAAACGTTCATGGGCGTATAATCAGAAATTGTAACAAAACTGCATGGTTTTAATTTTGGTTAAGTTTAAATGAAGTTAAAACAATAATAGATTTATCCTTACATTTTTGTCCCGTAAATTATTTTGTATAAACGCCATATTTGAATTTTCTTGACAATGACTTGATATCTTACCAAATCTAGTGCCACAAAATATTTTAACTAATTATTAAATATTTTACTAAAGGTTAAGTTGACAAGTAATGATGTGACTGGTGTAATATGACATTGCGACGCTATTTGTCACGTTAGTTTATATACGACTCTTTGTAAATACTCAGAGCAAACACATGATTAAAGGAATGTTTAGATTATTGAAATTAAAGGGATGTTAGATTATTGAAATCTTATATTATCTTTAAGATTATTAAAAATTTTTAAAATAATGTGTTTGATTAGTTGATAGGTATATTATATTAATATGTTTGATTAGAGGGAATAAATTAGTGGGTATGTTATTTAAATTACTAAATTATCCCATTTTTAAATATTAATATGATATTATTTTTATTATTAATTTTTAAATAATTTCTTTTAACCTCCAATATTTCAGATTTAGCTAAAACGCCCCTGAAAATATAAAACTTTAATTTATGATGAAATCACCCCCACCCCTGACTGCCGCCACCGCAAACCACTGCCGGAAGTCTCAGAAAGTCGTTGTAAGTGGCTCACCATGATCACAAGGCTCTGATATGGTCGTTTCTGACCATATTGATGGTCGAAAACAACCATAACCAAATCTGGGCAAGATCTGATCGTTAACCAGAAATGGCTAGAATAAATCTGGCCCTTTCCGGCTAGATCTGGCCTGATATTGCCGTTTTTGGCCATCAATATGGCTGGAAATGGCCACATCGAAGCCTCCCACCGAATCTCAGTCTTTTTTAGGGACTCTGACGACTTTCCGATGGCGGTCCGTGGTGGTTGGCTCGCTGTCGACGGTGGTGGCAATGGTGGTCTGTAGGTTGTTTTAAATATAAGGGCATTATTGTCTAAAAATTTAATTAAACAAGGGTAAAGTTGAAATAGTATATTAAGTTGTCTAAATTTTTTATTAATAAGGCATAGAATTGTAACAAAAATGAGATTACCAAAGTAATCTTATAATACTTAAGAAAATGAAGGTAATCAGATTACCTCCAATATTACCAACAGTAACAACTATTGGTAATGCAAAATTACCGGAATCTTATATTATTTGACAACCAAATATGATAATCAAGTAATATAAGATGATATAACCCCAGTAATCTTCCATTACCTCCAACCAAACGCCCCCTTAAGAGCATCTTCAAAAAACCTTTTATATGATCCAAATTCTTTATTATAAAAAGTCTATTCATAAAAATAATGGTTCAATAGACTTTTTATTCTTTAAATATAAATTAAGGAGTGAGTTTGACTTTCCACATCTGGAGAGTCAAATTTTACTCTCTATCATAATTTTAATTAATAAACTACAAGTTTTTATGTATTTTATTTATTATTTATCTCTCTCATTAAGTCTTTTTTTTTTTTTTAAATAAAGAGCAGTTTCATTAAATTTAAAAGGTACCTTGAATTTGAATAAATTTTTTATTTTTATATTTAAAAATTAATAAAGATACTTTTTATTTATATAAAATGTGCTGTTTAAATAAATAGATGCTTTAAGCATCTACTTGGGAGTTTTTTTTCACTTGTTTTGGGGGGGGTTTTAATTAGACTAGTTTTGAGGTGTTTAAAAACCATTACTTGTTAGATTTTTTATGGACCAGTTTTGACTAGTTTAAAAACCCCCCAAAACTAGTGTAGTGTATTTTTGAGGGGTTTATAAAACACCCCAAATCGGGGTGTTTTGGCTGGTTTAAAAATTTTATCCCCGAAAAATCCCTTTTCACTATTATTCATATACAATAATCTCTTTGCTGTTTTAAAAATTTCTTCAAACCTCATTCAATCTTCAACTTTTAGAAGACTGTTACAATGCTGTTGAATTTTTTATCTTAGGCTTTCTAATCCTTCATTAGAGATATAAGGTTTTTCTTTCTTTCTTCTTCATTTTCCCCTTCAACTTTTTGTTCTTTTAATCTGGTAAACTCCTATGCAGGCTGTATACAATTTAATTGTATTTCTTTACCAGTTGTTTTACAAAATTAGGTGGTTTTTCCTGTATTTGATTATTTCTATTTGCGTTTAGGTGATTGATTGAATCCTTGTCAGTTTGTTAAATACAAATTGTTTTTTATGACTTTGCTTCATTGATTGAAGAAAAGAACAAAAATCTGTTTTTTAGAAATGTTGTTGCGGCTGTTATATTGATAATTTGCAAAGTCCAACATTGTGAGAGCATATTTATTCTCTTAAAATGACAGATTTCGAATGATTGTATGATAAATTAAATAATGTACAATGAAAGAACTTACAAATAAATTAAACTTGGAAGAAACTTTGATACTAAGTATTGGTAATTGAAAAAAAAAAAAATCCCAAATACTGGTTGAAGTTGGGGTATTTTTATGAGCATATATGTAAATTTATCATTTAAAAAAACTGTCAAAACCGCTGGAAAATAAACTCTCAAGCATAGGTTGAGTGTTTTAAAAATCACCACTAAAAACCCCTCAAAACCTTTACGGTGGTTTACCCTTAAAACTGTTACGATAGTTTATCCTCACAACCGCTATCATAAACTTCCCAAGCAGACCCTAAGTGAAGTATTTCTTTCTCTATAATAATTCACCCAGGACAACAGTGATGTTTGTGAGGTAGCATTAAACATTAAGGCATATCAATAAAGAAAGATCAATCAAGTAAAGTAATGGAAATGGACCAACAAACTCAATCCACCGAGTAGATTTGATTGGGCATTTGGGCTTTGTGCTCCTCGTTTCAGATTGAATTATTACGCTTAAGTCCAATTTTTTAGATTTATGTATCTGTTTATTCAAAGCTGGCATATGCTTGTTGGGCTTTACTTTTATTTGTTCCACCAATAAACTCATGAAGGGATGAATAAAATCTCAATTTTATTCTCTAACTTATTCTAATTCTTTATCCATTAATCAGGAGAGCAAATGCTTGAAGATGATAATTTACGAGGTTGAGCTGGGAGGAATTAGTTGAAAGTTGTCTTTCACCGGAAAAGGCTACTTTAATATATACCATACTTAGCTTGGAAATGATGTAATTAAATTTACCATTTTATTGATTTAGTCTATCTAAATAAAAACCTAAAAAAAAAAAAAAAAAAAAAAACATTTCAAGGATTTAAATATGACAAAACAACATTTCCCACCCGAAACAATTGGACTAATTCTGATGTGAAGCCCAGTCCATGAGCATTTCAAGGATTTAAATATGACAAAACAGCATTTCCCACCCAAGGTTTGTCCTAAAGATCTCACCCGAAAAAGTTTCAAAACGAAAGTTTCTCATAAAAACAAATTTCATAACAAAATTGGAAACAAGAGACAATCGTTGCTTGAACCTTCACGCGGCCCCGCCCATCTCCAGAGTGAACAAAAAATCAAGCAATCACCCAAATTACTTCACCACCTCCAAATCCAAACGGGAAGTCTAAATAAATCACTCTACCAATACATGACTCTTAACAGATCAGCGAAATGATTTCTGGCATAATTTAACGGCTGTTCAAGTGCTTGTCTAATAGAAGTTGAGATCATGTTTCGTACAATATCCGGGTTGAAATAATAAAACCTTAGAACTTCAATTGCGGGAAAGTGGATCTTACTAGGTTTTCCAGATTAATCTCTGAGACCTAGAAGTGAAAGAAAATACTCTGGACACATCTAATGTTGCAAAACGGAATTCCATTCTAACTATGATTTAGACAATATTATTTAGAAAACAATTTACTAGAAATAACTGTGACTTTATGAAATCATTCATACAATCCAATAAACACATTTGATACCTGCAGGCGGGACCACATTGACTGAATAATGTGACTTTGGAACAAATGTCATTAAATTATAATAATTCAACAAATTAATAAATGGGCCCCGAGGAGGCATGTATTATAGCCTAAACCTAAATCTCCATTATGGGAGGTGCGGCTCCCGACAGGTTTATACCTACCACCTACGTAACGTTAATGTGGTTTTCCTTTTCCTATGGAAAAGCCTAAGATACCCTCACTTCATTGTGGTAACAAAAGATAATAGTTGTACTAATGTAGTCAGGTAGTCGGTAGGTTCCATTAAATTTTGGGTAGGTACATTAAATTCTCCCACACAAAAATAAAGTTAGATCTGATTTAATGGTTTGTGGTGCAAGAATGAAAAGTGAAAGGCCCCGCGTCGGACTATTAAACGACGTGCCTGGTTTTATGCTCATTTAGAAGCTCAGAGTTATCACCGACGGAGAGAGAAACGGCAGAAAGAGCAACAATGGCGAGTGATTCAACTGAAGTAATACTTCATGTAGCCATGTTCCCATATTTTGCATTTGGTCACATAAGTCCCTTCGTTCAACTTTCTAATAAGCTTTCTCTTCATGGAGTTAAAGTCTCTTTCTTCTCATCTCCTGGTAACATTTCACGCATCAAATCCACACTAAAGCTTAGTCCTAATGCCCAAATAATCCCTCTTACAATCCCACATATTGAAGGTCTCCCACCTGATCTAGAAAGCACCTCCGATATGACACCTACCATGGTCGAACTTCTTAAGCAAGCTTTAGACCTCATGCAACCAAAAATCAAGACGCTCTTATCACAACTCAAACCCCATTTTGTGTTCTTTGATTTCGCGCAAAACTGGTTTCCATAACTAGCTTCACAACTTGGCATCAAATCAATTTTCTTCTCTGTTTTTACTTCCGTTTCAGGTGCTTACATTATGGTGCCTGAAAGGCGAAACGACCACACAATTGATGATCTATTGAAACCTCCCAAAGGATTCCCGGTAACTTCAATTACCTCTCTCAGAAAATTTGAGGCTCAAGATTTGGGATACGTGTTCGTGAACTTCGACGGAAATCCTTGTGTTTATGACAGAGTCCTTGATGGCCACCACAGCTGCGATGTTATTGTTATGAAAACATGCAATGAACTGGAAGGTTCTTACGTCGATTTCCTGAGAAGCCAGTTTCAAAAGTCTGTTCTTTTAACTGGTCCACTTGTCCCGGAGCCACCATCTGGTGAGCTTGACGAGAGATGGTCTAAGTGGCTTGGTCTGTTTCCCGCAAAGTCAGTGATATTTTGCTCTTTTGGCAGCGAAACATTTCTCAATGGTGACCAGATAAAACAACTGGCTCTGGGCTTGGAACTGAGTGGTTTGCCATTTCTTCTGGTCCTAAATTTTCCTGCTAATGTGGACTCCCAAACTGAGTTGGTTCGTGCTTTACCAGAAGGGTTCATGGATAGAGTGAAAGAGAGGGGTGTTGTGCACACAGGGTGGGTGCAACAGCAGCTCATTTTAGCACATAATAGTGTGGGTTGTTATATTTGTCATTCAGGATTTAGTTCAGTGATAGAAGCAATAGTGAATGATTGCCAATTGGTTCTTTTGCCTTTTAAAGGTGACCAGTTCTTCAACGCCAAGCTTATAGCTGGGGACCTGAGGGCTGGGGTGGAGGTGAATAGAAGAGAAGATAACGGGCATTTTGATACGGAGGATATATTAGAGGCTGTTAAAACTGTTATGGTGGATGTTGACAAGGAGCCAGGTATGTGTATTAGAGCAAATCATAAGAAATGGAGAGACTTCTTTTCGAATGAAGGGATTCACAATAAGTTTGTTGCGGATTTGGTGAAGGAACTGAAAGTCGTTGCTTAAGTAAACATGAATGCAATTGGCTCAATAATGTTGTTTGCGCTTTTGGTTGAATAAAAGCTCTATTTTTTCAAGTAAATGTCACTTTTTCTTCGAGAAGTGAACGTGTACCATTGAAACCAAACCGACTCATTTTCTCAACTCATTAAACTAAATAATACTATATACTAACAATGGTTTGTATGAATCTTTAAATTGGATATATTCATAAAATTTGCCATTCCTATAGAGGAATTAAAGGTTATTAACATGATTTAAACGACCCAGTTCTTTTAAATGATCCACTTGTCCCTGAGCGAACAACGCGTGAGCTGAAAGAGAGATGGGCATAAACTTATAATTGTGAGATAAGAATTGCTTTTGGGTTGCGACTTCATCCTTGGTAATCTTCCCCAGGTCAAATCAGGCCAGATGAAGGTTCACACTTCAATTATTAAGTGAAATCTAGGGCTTTCTAAAAGTGTACAGTCACTAAGAATCATTTTCAAATCATATGATGCCATGAGATAACGACTATTATTGATGACACAATCTCAAATATTTGATTTAGATAAATTTTTAAGAACATTTTTTTTTTTTAAAATAAATGTGATTTAATGTAATACGATGACATAATTTAATTCATAATTCAATGTATGTTTAAATAAGTAAATAATTTTATGAGAATGTGATAGATGACCGCACCGCAAAGATTACAGAATCATGTGCCATTTGCTCTGGGGAATATAAATGCCGTCCAATATTGGGAAGTTTACAATGTCGTCCTTAAGATTTGACTTTACTAATTTTAGTCTTTGTTTTAATGTTTTTAACATTTTGGTTCATGACATTTGCAAACACCAAAACGTTGCTAAAAAAATTTACAAGGGTAAAGTTACTCATATCAGGGCGAGATTGTTATTATTCCTCAATTATCCAACAAACACTGAAATTCAAATATGTAATAGTTTTTTGGGAGGTGCGAAAAGGCTAGAAATTAAAATAATTGTGTTACACAAAATTTAATGGTTTACTATGTTATAATAGGTTGTTAGTTTCCTTAATGTTTGGGAGGTGATTGTCCTTTTATCAAATTTGGGTGGACACACGGTTATGTTCCCATTCATAAAGAGAGCAACGCTCCCACGAGCCCCAACAAGTACAAAAATAATAAATTTAGTTCATTCTAGTCCATAGCCCCGTCCCCCGTGAGATTGTTGAATGACCCTGATTCAACTGGTTTCTCTATAAATTTACTCTGAGAGCTTGGTTTATGAACCTCAGAATTACCAACGGAGAGAGTAAATTGCAGCTCAAAGATCAACAATGGCGAGTGATTCAACTGAAGTAATACTTCATGCAGCCATGTTCCCATATTTTACATTTGGTCACATAAGTCCTTTCGTTCAACTTTCTAATAAGCTTTCTCTTCATGGAGTTAAAGTCTCTTTCTTCTCATCTCCTGGTAACATTTCACGCATCAAATCCACACCAAAGCTTAGTCCTAATGCCCAAATAATCCCTCTCACAATCCCACATATTGAAGGTCTCCCACCTGATTGATCTGGAAAGCACCTCCGATATGACACCTGCCATGGCCAAACTTCTTAAACCATCCTTAGACCTCATGCAACCACAAATCAAGACTCTTATCACAACTTCAACCCCATTTTGTGTGCTTTGATTTCACGCAAAACTGGTTACCACAACTAGCTTCACAACTTGGCGTCAAGTCACTTTTCTTCTCTGTTTTTACTTCCGTTTCAGGTGCTTACATTATGGTGCCTGAAAGGCGAAACAACCACACCATTGATGATCTAATGAAACCTCCCAAAGGGTTCCCGGTAACTTCAATTACCTCTCTTAGAAAATTTGAGGCTCAAGATTTGCGATACGTGTTCGTGAACTTCGACGGAAATCCTTGTGTTTATGACAGAGTCCTTGACGGCCACTACAGGTGCGATGTTATTGTCATGAAAACATGCAATGAATGGAAGGTCCTTACGTAGATTTCCTGAGAAGCCAGTTTCAAAAGCCGGTTCTTTTAACTGGTCCACTTGTTCCGGAGCCACCTTCTGGTGAACTTGACGAGAGATGGTCTAAGTGGCTTGGTCTCTTTCCCGCAAAGTCAGTGATATTTTGCTCTTTTGGCAGCGAAACATTTCTCAATGGTGACCAGATAAAACAACTGGCTCTGGGCTTGGAACTGAGTGGTTTGCCATTTCTTCTGGTCCTAAATTTTCCTGCTAATGTGGACTCCCAAACTGAGTTGGTTCGTGCTTTACCAGAAGGGTTCATGGATAGAGTGAAAGACAGGGGAGTTGTGCACACAGGGTGGGTGCAATAGCAGCTCGTTTTAGCACATTATAGTGTGGGTTGTTATGTTTGTCATTCAGGATTTAGTTCAGTGATAGAAGCAATAGTGAATGATTGCCAATTGGTTCTTTTGCCTTTTAAAGGTGACCAGTTCTTAAACGCAAAGCTTATAGCTGGGGACCTGAGGGCTGGGGTGGAGGTGAATAGAAGAGAAGATAATGGGCATTTTGAGAAGGAGGATATATTAGAGGCTGTTAAAACTGCTATGGTGGATGTTGACAAGGAGCCAGGTATGTGCATTAGAGCAAACCATAAGAAATGGAGAGACTTCTTTTCGAATGAAGAGATTCAGAATAAGTTTATTGGGGATTTGGTGAAGGAACTGAAAGTCGTTGCTTAATTAAACACGCATTCAAATGGCTATTGCTATGCTATTCAATGACCTTCTCGTACTCTTATCTTCCATCTGTTTCTTTACTTGAATAAAGCTCTATTTGAGCTTGCAAAACTCTAGTGCTAAAATTTATCACATTTGAGATATTGTGACTCTCAGTTTGAGACTGAATACTAACGTCTGAACATTCATATATATGTTGCTTAGTTTTAGTATGTTTTTGGAATCATATGTTGTATTTCTTTACTATTGAACATCAGTAATATGTAAATGTGTACGGAATTTGTATTTCTTTACTTTTGAACATCAGTAATATGTAAATGTGTATTGAATTTATTATAGTTTTGGGGTTTTGCTTATTGATATTTTTAAGTGTAGGAATAACACCTTTCCTCCTTAAATACATTTGGTTCCAGTATAAATATGTCCTCCTACTAATACTATTGGCTCTTCTTTTATTTAAAGTTAGGTTCTTAATTATTAGAGAATTGATGGCTATCTTCAAGTGTAGAGATCCTTCTTGAAAGAAAGAAATTAAAGAGAAATAATATCATCCCAACAGAGAACCTTAGGGTGGAAGTGCCCAGGCGCAAGAATTCCAGCATCATTTGTCTCTTTTTATTTTCAAGGTCATAAAAATTGAGTATTTTTACATAATTTTTTTAAAAATTATTCAGAAGAGATCCAGCATAATCTTTTTTCAACAACTCCACATCTGAGGTCAGGATGCATATTGAAGTTCAATAATTGAACCGCCTGCATGAGCCTCTCTATTATGTGGACAGGTGGACAAACGTCAAACAATTATTGAAATCCCAAGGGTTAAAGTTGTTTGATTAATAATTCATAAAAAAGAAAAAGTCTTCATAAAATCCCTCGTGTTTCACGCTAAGTATTTTTAATTAGTTTATCCGACGATTGATGAAAGGAACAATTTACTTACCCAAGATTTTGGGTTGATTTACGCTCATTGAAAAGCTACAAATACCTACAACTGAAAGACAGAAATACCAACAACTGAAAGAGAGAAGCAGGCAATCAAAAACAAAAATGGCGAGCCATGAATCAACTGATTCACTTCATGTAGTGATGTTCCCCTGGTTTGCATATGGTCATATAAGCCCATTTGTCCAACTATCTAATAAGCTTTCCCTTCATGGAGTTAAAGTCTCTTTCCTCTCAACTCCTTCTACTGTTTCACGCATCAAATCTACCATCAACCTTAATCCCGGAGTCCACTTAATCCCAGTCTCAATCCCACATATTGAAGGCATCTCTCCTGGTCTCGAAACCACCTCTGACATGACACCTGCCATGGCTGAACTACTTAAGCAAGCCGTAGACCTCATGCAACCACAAATTAAAACACTCTTATCACAACTCAAACCTCATTTTGTGTTCTTTGATTTCGTGTATTACTGGCTACCATACCTTGCTTCACAACTCGGGATTAAAACACTTTATTTCTCAGTTTACTCTGCCATTTCTGATAATTACAACCTGGCCGTTTCAAGGCGAAACAATCACACCATCCATGATTTCATGAAACCGCCAGCTGGGTTCCCTACGACTTCCCTTACCTCTCTCACAAAATTTGAGGCCGGACACTCTTTTTACGTGTTAATGAACTTCGACGGACACCCTTCTGTTTATGACAGAGCCCTGGAGGGCTACAACGGTTCCACTGCCATATTAATGAAAACATGCAATGAAATGGAAGGTCCTTACGTAGAGTACAAGAAAACCCAGTTTCAAAAACCAGTTCTTTTAACTGGTCCACTTGTTTCCGAACCGCCATCTGGTGAGCTCGACGAGAGATGGTCTAAGTGGTTAGTTCGTTTCCCCCCAAAGTCAGTAATATTTTGCTCTTTTGGCAGCGAAACATTTCTCAACAACGATCAGATTAAAGAATTGGCTCTGGGCTTGGAACTTACTGGTTTGCCATTCTTTCTGGTGGTAAATTTTCCGGCTAATGTGGATGCTGAAATTGAGTTAGTCCGGGCTCTGCCAGAAGGGTTAACGGAGAGAGTGAAGGACATAGCAGTTGTTCACACTGGATGGGTCCAACAACAACTAATTTTAGCACATAATAGTGTTGGTTGTTACGTTTGTCATTCAGGATTTAGTTCAGTACTCGAAGCTATAATGAATGATCGCCAGTTGGTTCTTTTACCTTGTAAAGGTGACCAGTTCTTGAACGCCAAGCTTATTGCAGGGGACCTGAGGGCTGGGGTGGAGGTGAATAGAAGAGAAGATGATGGGCATTTTCATAAGAAGGATATATTTGAGGCTGTTAAAACTGTTATGGTGGATGTTAACAAGGAGCCAGGTATGTCTATTAGAGAAAATCATAAGAAATGGAGAGAGTTCCTGAGGAATGAAGAGATACAGAATAAATTTATTGCAGATTTAGTTAAGGATCTAAAGGATCTAGCTTAAAGGAGGAAGGATTATGGTGCTCCATATATGGTTTTGTTGTGTTGTGCTGTATTAATTTGTTGAGGGTCATGATTTTTGTACTTGAATAAAGGGGGGAATTATTGTGAATTTGTGATGTTAAGAGTATCTCAATGGTGTAAAATAAAGAGTATTTTTATTTATTTTTAAATATAAAGAATAATTTTTTTATTTAAATTTAATACACTCCTTAAATTTTAGGAGAGATAATATATTTTGTTAAGAAAGAAATAAATCATAAATAAAATGTATAGAAACTTGTAATTTATTATTTAAAATTAAGATAGAAAGTAAAATTTGACTCTTTAAATGTAGAGAGTCAGTTTCACTCTTTAATTTATATTTAAAGAATAAAGAGTATGTTAGACTTTTGTTTTCATAGATAAATTTTTTATAATAAAGAGTTTAAGTCATATAAAGAGTCATTTGCAGATGCTCTTAGGTAACTTCACGGATAAAGCGAAATTGAACACTAGTAATTAATATTGTTTAAATTAAGGGGGTTCAATTCCGGGTACCCTGTATTTTTTGAAGGAACTGGAACCGAAATCGACGGTTCCTTAAAATTTGGAACTGGAATCAAAACCGACGGTTTCGGTTCTCTGGTACCCAGAACCAGAACCTGTAACAACGGTTCCTATTCTGATTTTGGGTACCCTATAAAATTACAATTAACCCCCAAAAGTTTTTAAAATGGAAAAAACCCTTAAAAACTTACAAATAACCCCCACCTGGCTCTTATTAACAAAAATAAAATTACAAATTACAAACTCCATTACTTTGTAAATGTAGATTATCAAAAGTCAAACCAACTTACTTCAAATGTTATGAAATATAAATATAAATGTATTCACATTACCTTTTCTACAAAAGTTTTTATTAACCCCCCTACTCTTTAATTTAATTTTATATTAGTTTCAGTTTCCGGTTCCAGTTCCTAACTGTAGGAACTGGAACTGGAACCGCATAGTGACGGTTCCAAAAATTTAGAACCGAAACCTACCCATTGACGGCTGGTTCTAGATAGGAATCGTAACCAAACCCCGTGTACCTGTCGGTTCTGGTTCCAATTGGTTCTTTTGAACACCCTTAGTTTAAATGAAGTGGTGGTTGTAGCTTATCTCATGATTCCGAGGGTCCCGATCTAGTCACTCAACCAGTATTTTAGTGATGGAATACATTGTCTACGATTTATTTTTGAACCACATGTTTTTCAATTTATAACAAGTTTTGTACACTTATGTCACCTGATCTGATAATAAATTAGATGGCATATGAGAGGTGAACCTTTAACAATAACCAAAGTGAGTATTTTTGAATAATTTTTTAAAAATTTATTAAAAACTCAGACATTCAGAAAGATCAGCATGATCTTTTTTCAACTACTCCACATCTGAAGTCAGGATGCATATTGAACCGCTGCATGAGCTTTTCTATTATGTGGACAAGTGGACAAGTTGACAAACGTCTAACATTATTGAAATCCCAAGGGGTAAAGTTGTTTGATTAAAATTCATAAAAAAAAAAAAAAGTCTTCATAAATCCCTCCTGTTTCACGCTAAGTATTTTTAATTAGTTTATCCGTCGATGATGAAAGAAACAAATTACTTACCAAGATTTGGGTTGATTTACGCTCATTGAAAAGCTACAAAATACCAACAACTGAAAGAGAGAAGCAGGCCATCTAAAACAAAAATGGCGAGCATGAATCAACTGATTCACTTCATGTAGTGATGTTCCCCTGGTTTGCATATGGTCATATAAGCCCATTTGTCAACTATCTAATAAGCTTTCCTCATGAGGTTCAAGTCTCTTCCTCTCAACTCCTTCTACTGTTTCACGCATCAAATTACCATCAACCTTAATCCGGAGTCCCATAATCCCAGTCTCAATTCAGAATAAGTTTATTGGGGATTTGGTGAAGGAACTGAAAGTCGTTGCTTAATTAAACACGCATTCAAATGGCTATTGCTATGCTATTCAATGATCTTTTCGTACTCTTATCTTCTATCTGTTTCTGTACTTGAATAAAGCTCTATTCGAGCTTGCAAAACTCTAGTGCTAAAATTAATCACATTTGAGATACTGTGACTCTCAGTTTGAGACTGAATACTAACGTTTGAACATTCATATATATGTTGCTTAGTTCTTAGTATATTTTTGGAATAATATGTTGTATTTCTTTACTATTGAACATCAGTAATATGTAAATGTGTACGGAATTTGTATTTCTTTACTTTTGAACATCAATAATATGTAAATGTGTATTGAATTTATTATAATTTTGGGGTTTTGCTTATTGATATGCATAAGTGTAGGAATAACACCTTTCCTCCTTAAATACATTTGGTAATAGTGTATTCCAGTATAAATATGTCCTCCTACTAATACTATTGGCTCTTCTTTTATTTAAAGTTAGGTTCTTAATTATTAGAGAATTGATGGCTACCTTCAAGTAATCGGCAATTTTTGTAGAGATCCTTCTCGAAAGAAAGAAAGAAATTAAAGAGAAATAATATCATCCCAACAGAGAACCTTAGCGTCTGCTTGAGAGTTTTTTTTTCACTGGTTTTGGGGAGTTTTTAATTAGATTGGTTTTGAGGTGTTTAAAAACCCTTACTTGCCAGATTTTTAATAAGCTGGTTTTAACTGGTTTAAAAAACCCCCCAAAACCAGTGTAGTGTAATTTTGAGGGGTTTATAAAATACCCCAAATCGGAGTGTTTTGGCTGGTTTAAAAATTTTATCCCAAAAAACCCCTTTTCACTAAATGATAATAATCCCTTTGCTGCATACAAATCTCTTGTTACTGTTGATTTCTCTCTCTTACAAAGTGAGTGAATAGTTTTAATTTGTGAGTGAATGTTTTTAATTTGCTGCACACAACTCATTTAATGGGAGTCAGTTTTGTTTTTGTCAGTTTTGTTAAATGGGAGATGTGAAGAAGAATGGTGGTTATTGATAAGTGTAGTGCAGTTTTGTAAGTGGAGATGTTTAAAGAGAAGTTGTATAATGAAGTGGTACTGATAAGTGTAGTGCAGTTTATAAGTGTAGTGCAATTTTGTAAGTGGAGATGTTTAAAGAGAATTTGTATAATGAAGTGGTACTGATAAGTGTAGTGCAGTTTTGTGAAGTGGAGATGTTAAAGAAAATGTGTATAATGGAGTGGTATTGATAAAGTGTTGTGGAGATTTGTTTAAAGGGAGATGATAAGAAGAGTGTGTAATATGGGTTGGTACTGATATGTTTAGTCTGTTTTGTTTTTGTCAGTTTTGTTAAATGGGCTTCCTATAAATACTTTACTCTTTAGCTCTCTCTTGTTCTTCGTTTTTCCCTTATTTTTCTTTCTTCGGTGATTCTAAAATTCTTCAAAGATGATTGGTGTTTTGAATATTTTGTTCTCACAGTTTTCTGACATCCTAAAAAAATAGTCACCTGTTTGTTTTTGTTAGTTTTGTTAAATCATCCCTGTTGTGCATTCATCATCTCTAACACCTGTCATACCATCAAAATACACCTAAAATTTTAAACCAGAATTGAATTCCTGCTTCTCCAAGCCATTACAGCAGTACATGCCTCTAACCCTGCATGAAACATTAGCTTCAAAATCTTTCATTCGAACTATTGCAGCTGCATAAATCAAAAAGGTTTTAAAAGTAATATGGAGGTATGCGTAACCCAAACCTATAGAGTCATTCAATCTGTCAAGTTAGGGCTTTAAACACCACCCATATCATTTTATGGAGTTGAGTAGGCACAGAGCAATTGTAAGTAAAATGTGTGGTGAATTTGAGAGTCAACTCCTCCATTCTTATGATGATAATGGAAATCAACACAGCAAACTTCTATTCTTAAGAGCTTCATTACAAATCTTAAAAGAAAGAAACAAAAATATATTCCATCAAACCAAATACAACTGCAAACTGAAACTAATGACTTCCAATAACGGAACTTGTTGAAGCAATCATAACTGTCAGAGAGAGCCTCTTGTTTGATTAGAGAGAAAGAAAATAAAAACAAATAATGTAGGCATTATTTGTATTTATCAAAGTTAATTCAGCAAAAGAAAGTGTTTTAACTTTATAGACATATATGTAAATTTATCATTTAAAAAACTATTAGAACCGTTGAAAAATAAACTCCCAAGCACAGGTTAGGTGTTTTAAAAACCGCTACTAAAAACCTCTCAAAACTATTACTGTGGTTTACCCTTAAAACCGCTATGATAATTTACTTTCATAACCGCTATCATAAAACTTCCAAACATACCCTTAGGGGTGGAAGTGCCCAGCAAGAATTTCAGCGTCATTTGTCTCTCTTTTTTATTTTCAAGGTCATAAAAATTGAGTATTTTTGCATAATTTTTTTAAAAATTTATTAAAAACTCAGACATTCAGAAGAGATCAGCATGATCTTTTTTCAACTACTCCACATCTGAAGTCAGGATGCATATTGAACCGCCTGCATGAGCTTTCTCTATTATGTGGACAAGTGGACAAGTTGACAAACGTCTAACAATTATTGAAATCCCAAGGGTTAAAGTTGTTTGATTAATAATTCATAAAAAAAAAAAAAAGTCTTCATAAAATCCCTCCTGTTTCACGCTAAGTATTATTAATTAGTTTATCCGTCGATTGATGAAAGAAACAATTTACTTACCCAAGATTTTGGGTTGATTTACGCTCATTGAAAAGCTACAAATACCAACAACTGAAAGAGAGAAGCAGGCCATCTAAAACAAAAATGGCGAGCCATGAATCAACTGATTCACTTCATGTAGTGATGTTCCCCTGGTTTGCATATGGTCATATAAGCCCATTTGTCCAACTATCTAATAAGCTTTCCCTTCATGGAGTTCAAGTCTCTTTCCTCTCAACTCCTTCTACTGTTTCACGCATCAAATCTACCATCAACCTTAATCCCGGAGTCCACATAATCCCAGTCTCAATCCCACATATTGAAGGCATCCCTCCTGGTCTCGAAACCACCTCTGACATGACACCTGCCATGGCTGAACTACTTAAGCAAGCCGTAGACCTCATGCAACCACAAATTAACACACTCTTATCACAACTCAAACCTCATTTTGTGTTCTTTGATTTCGTGTATTACTGGCTACCATACCTTGCTTCACAACTGGGGATTAAAACACTTTATTTCTCAGTTTACTCTGCCATT